GGTCATGCACTCATGCAGACAACCTGGATCCGAGTCTGATTCCAGTCATTCACTGATCCATCTTTTTTTATCTCATCATTTCTAGTCCCATCAGCTCTGTTGAAAACAAAAAAACAAGCTATTATGAAAAATAAATATTATAATTCATCTGATTGTATTATTGTTAATAATATTAAACGTCACTGTTAAAGCATTTTTAGCAGCCTTTGCCATGTGCTGTTTGCATGTTGGTAAATTAATCAAAATTCTCTATTACTTTTGTTCGTATGTTTAGGTTTATAAACTGCTGTTGCAGCTTCCGCTACGTATTTCTAGTTACTTATTTATTTTTATTTGTAATTTTAGAACTGGGAAAAAAAATCTGATCTTCTATAGCAGATGGATTTGTGGGTAATATTAGCCTCAAAAATCGAGCACAGATGCTTACTTCCACCAGAAATAGTTTGCCATCTGGGCTCCTTTGGCAAGTGATTGGACGTGAATGGGATGCAGTGTTAGTTTGTCATCCTCAGTTGGAAATCAGTCAGCTGTTGTAATACTACGGTGTTCTTTGAGTGCCGTGTAAATAGTACCAAGGTTTATGAATATGTTAATCATGATTTATTAATCATGTTCAAAAGTTTGGTTCTGTAAGATTTTTAATGTTTTTAAAAAGAAGCCTCTTCTGCTCATCAAGGCTGCATTTATTTGCTCAAAAGTACAGTAAAAATTGTGAAATATTATTATAATGTAAAATAGCTGTTTTCTATGTGAGTATCTGTTGAAATGTAATTTATTCCTGTGATGCGCAGCTGTATTTTCAGCATCATTACTCCAGTCTTCAGTGTCACGTGATCTTCAGAAATCAGTATAATATGCTGATCTGCTGCTCGAGAAACATTTCTGGTTATTATCAATGTTTTTTGTAAATTTCCTACCGTAAATATATCAAAACTTAATGTTTGATTAGTAATATGCATTGCTACATGCATTTGGACAACTTTAAAGATGATTTTCTCAATATTTAGATTTTTTTGCACCCTCAGATTCCAGATTTTCAAATAGTTGTATCTCGGCCAAATATTGTCCGATCCTAACAAACCATACATCAATGGAAAGCTTATTTATTCAGCTTTCAAAAAATGGACCCTTATGACTAGTTTTGCCAAGGTCACAAATGTCTACTCTCACTTTTGATCAATTTAATGCATCCTTGATGAATAAAAGTATTAATTTCTTTAAAAAAAAATCTGTTTGTGTCTGTCTCAGGAGTATCTGAACAAGCATCAGATCTGGCTGTCGGGTTTGTCTCAGCACACGGGTTTGGCGATGGCTACCGAGAGCATTCTCAGCTTCGCGGGATACAACCGTCAAAGCACAACGCTGGGGGTGAGAAACACACCTGACCCAGAGTTCCTGTTACAGACACACATCCTGATGCTAACCAGTGCTGTGTCTTACGGTAGATGGTTACTGAGATGGTAACTGAGGTTTTTGGCCAGATTAAGGTAAGACGGTAGCGAGTCTTTAGCTGATCAGAATAAAATCATCAATCGTTTTGTAAGAAGTCTTTAGGAAAACTACTGATTTATTCCATATGCCCAATCAAATCCACTAAATTCACTAAATCCAAACATCTTGAACTGCTTTAAGATTCACAGAACATCTGAATATGTAGATCATGTGAACACACAAATTGTTTATATTAATGCATTTATGCATTTATTTATACATGCAGTTGTTTATGCATTGTGACATTATTTTGGACAATTAAGCATACACAATTATAAATGTAAAAAAGTCTGATTCTTATGTAATATAAATATTAATATATTTTTATTATCAATAATATGATATTAATATATTTTGATAATTATATGCATTTATTTGTACATGCATTTATGCACTTATGTATACATTATGAATTTACATACATTTATTTATTGCATTTATTTATGCACTGACAATTTTTGAGAATTAAGCATACTTGCACAATTCTAAAAAGTAAAAAGTTTGTAAAAAGTTTTATTTTTAAAAGTATATATATTTTTTAATATTAATATGCATTTATGCATGCATTTATACAATTATGCAATTATTATTCATTTAAATATTAATTTTTATATATTTATTTATTCACTGCACTGCGCTTTAAGCTCATTTAAGGTCATTAACAGAATTAATTGCTGTAAAGCTGCTTGGAAACAGTGCGTATTGTGAAGAGCGTTACACAAATGATGCTTTTCACAATATACAGCTTAAAACTAACAAGATATTTCAGACGTGATCCCAGCTAACACACTCACTGCATTTCAGCTGTGTGATATTGATTATTTCTGCAATCATGCTTTATGAATATTCATTAGCACTGTTGTGTTCATATGAATTTAGCTCTTGTTTGTCTTTTAGTTTTTTGGGCCTTTTTTTGCATGCTTTGCACTATTTTGCGTAATGTCTTGTGTACAGTAAACGTGTGGTGGGCATTATTTTGTCATTCACTTTATTTGTGCCGTTACATCATTGCATCTCTGCTAACCGCTGGCTGCTAACTCATCTGTGTGTGTGCTGTGATTGGCTGGCGGTGGGTTGGTGGGTGTGGCCTGTCGTGTGCTCCTCCCCCTCGCCCCAGGCAGCTTTTCCTCAGGTTGGTTCTGTTACTGTTGTCCTCGCTGCTTTCATTGGCTCCGTCTGTAACTCATTTGTCATTTATGAACCAGTATGCATTTACATAAAAAGGAAATCAGTATATGTTGTTATCATAGCAGTAGAGCGGTCAGCTTGTCTTTATAGATTAATGGATGTATTGTAAGTCAGAAATGTCATTAGTAATGTTTGCAGGAGGATGTTTTAACTGGTCAGTTTCCATCATTCCCAGGTTACCCAGCTGACAGAGAGGCCCACCTGCGTGAAGAAGGACTACTCCAACTTCATGGCGTCGCTCAACCTGCGTAACCGCTACACTGGAGAGGTAAACGCTTCAGTAGGGTGTTTATGAGTTATAATCTCAACAATCATAACAAGAACATATTTCATATGACTCATATTTCACCAAACATTAAAAGAAAGAAATAAGAAAATATATGTTTTTGTAATTTTGCATAAAGAAAATAAAGTAAAATGCAAATTTAATTTTTGTGCACTTTTATTTGTGTTTGTTTATTTATGTGTTTTATGTGCTTATTTATGCATTATTGTACTAATGCATTTATTTATGCATGACATTTATGCAGTTTGTGCATTTGCGGGGTTTGCCCATAGATTTATTCATGCACTTATTTATATATATATTTTTTATTTCTACAATTATGTGTTTATTAATAAATGTATGCATTTTTTTGTACAATTTGTTTATGCATTTATTTATGGACTTATTTATACATTTATTTAGTTATTTGTGCATTTATGCATATTCATGCATTTATTTATGTATTTTCCATGCATTTTTTATATGTATGCATTTGTTCATTTATACAGTTATATATGCATTTTTAAATGCATGCATTTATTCATGCATTGTGACAATTTTATGACAGTTCTGCACAATTTGACTCTTCTTTAAATTCTTTAAATTACTGAAATGTAAAAAAAAAATTCTCATTATACTCCGTCATCATTCTGTAATTTAAATGATACTTAAATATTTATTTATTTTAAATGATATATTATTTATTATTCCTTTGCATCTAGGGATTTGTATATTATGGTAGTATTAGCTGTACTGCTTAATAACATATCATGTTAAATATATCACCATTTTAAAGGCATTAAAAAGACTTAATTTTCTTGTCTGTCTGTCTTCTCGTTTTTGGGGCGATTTATGTTTGCGTCTGTAATGTAAGAGGGCAGCATTTGATTGTGTGTGTATATGTGTGTATTAAGGTTGCTGGGATGCTGCAGTTTGCCGAAGTGACATGCAGCAAGTCAAACCTCAGCAAGCTGATGGTTTCTCAAATGAGTGACGCTCTGGACGCCAAAGACTCGGACGCATTCACTCAGAACATGTTCAAGATGACCGCGCTGCTCATTAGCACTAAAGGTAGCGCCCAGACAATCACACCGACCGTGTCGAATGCAGATCATGTTTGAGTGACACACAAACGTCTCTGTCTCAGGCTGGGATCTTCAGCTGCTGCATCACCTCTGCTGGTCTCCTCTGAAGATGTTCACAGAGCAGGGCATGGAGACGGCCATCGCCTGCTGGGAGTGGCTGCTCGCTGCTCGCAACGGAGTTGAAGTCCAGGTAAGACTCTGAATGCAGGATTATAACAGCATCATGTGCTGTAAGGTCGCAGTGCTCATTGCATGTGTGTGCAGTTCATGCGTGAGATGGCGGGCGCCTGGCAGATGACCGTTGAGCTGAAGATGGGCTTGTTCTCAGAGACAGAGTCAGAGGCCGATCCTTTAGCTGCTTCAGAAGAGAGTCAGCCGCTGCCTCGTCCACCCAACGTCACGCCGCATTCGCTCTGGATTGAGGTCTGTATCGCACATAACAGCACACTGCCATAAAACTCTTACTTTTTATGCTGAATATATAGTATGTATACTGCGAAAACCATGTCAAGTCAATGTTATTTATATATAGTTGTCATAAGTTTACATGCACCTTACAGAATCTGCAAAATAATTTAATAAGAGGGATTATAAAAATTGCATCTCGTTTTTTAGTACGGTCCAAGAATTCAACATGCTACATTAAAGCAGTAGTTCAGACCAAAATGAACATTTGCTGAAAATGTACTCACCCTCAAGCCATCCAAGGTGTAGTTGAGTTTGATTCTTCATCAGATTTGGAATCTATATACAATGAATAAACTCCATGAAATTAGTCCCAATATTGGAAAAATTATTTTCTGTCAATTTTCGAACCAATGGGACCAGATCGTTTATACCCGCTGTAGAATAGGCCAGCACACACAAGTTTTTAATACTAGGAGAAGATCCTCCAACATGTTCTCTCTGCCAAATCCTATTATCCATTAAGCATGTTGTATGAGATTGTGCTGGTTTTAACCCTCTGGTGTCCGAGGGTGTTTTGGGACCCTGGAGAAGTTTTGAAATGCCCTGACATTTGTGTTTTTTTCAGTACCTTAAAAACATTAATGGCTAACGTCTGATTACACTTTAATCAGCACAAACTGGGATACAATAATATGTGAGCAGCATGAATGTACATGTTTGTGTTTTTGAGAAAACAACGTTTATGCATGCTTAGTGAAAAACTAAAATTTAAGTCACTAAAATAAGACCATGAAACACTTACAGAACATTTGTTCACAAGACTTTTGAGAACTGTGTTTAGTAGACTAGAGTTTTTGCCACCATCAACCCCAGGAGATAAACGTTTTTATTCAGTTAACTCTTTTGAAGAGATTTTTAACAGTTAAGCCAAATACAGTTTTTGAGGTTTTAGCAAAAATAAATGATAAAAACATGATGTAATTCAGCCGTAATATTTCTTGCCATGAAAATAGCCACAGAAGCTGGAATGGTGTTAAGCACAAACAAACAAAAATCATCAGATTCTGAGAAATATAACATTAAATCACTTGCTCAGCAATAGATGCTCTGCAGTGAATGGGTGCCGTCAGAATGAGAGTCCAAATAGCTGATAAAACATCACAATAATCCACACCACTTCAGTCCATCAGTTAACATTTGGAGAAGACAAAAACTGAAACAAATCCATCAAGATCTCAAAATCATACATTCACTGTTAGAAAGATGCAGAATATGCTGGAAACCAAAGAATGTGCAGATCTTGGAGTTTTTTTTTCTTTTTCAGAAACTCTCTTTCTCAGCATGATTAAATCATTATATTCCTCATGTGAATGAATGTTAAAGTACGGTGTGTGTGTGTTTAGTTTCTAGTGCAGAGATTTGAAATCGCTAAGTACTGCAGTGCGGATCAGGTGGAGATCTTCACCGGCGTCCTGCAGAGGGCGCTGTCTCTCAGCGTCGGCGGGCCCAAGAGCTGCCTGAACCGCCACGTTGCTGCTTTAGGACCCCGATTCAGGTGATGCTTTAAACACTATGGGGACAAAAATATAATTGAAACCCATTAAAACTACAAAAAATGTAATCCACCGTGCCATTTAAGTGCAATATCATGCATTGTTTGTTAATAGGTATTCATTCTGTTGGCAAGGCTGCAAAACCTTTACTGTTTTTATTTTTTATTTTTACTGTTTTCCACCTGATAGTACCATTTGCTCATGTTTTGCTTATGTAGCAAATTCTCACTTTTTTCCAGTTTTCTGCTTCTACTGGAAAAAAGGCCAATTGAATTGAAGTTATGCAATTATAATTGTGTGGGTGTATTGGTATGGGTATCAGAGTGTGCTTTGTATGTATGTACTGAAAAATTTGTGTTCGTTTAAATCTGACTCTGCACAAAAAAATAATGCATCAAAATAAGTGTTGTTGCTGATCATTGACATCTGCAATAATAATAATAATAATAAAATTGCTTATCATTTAGTATGTGGAAATGATTATGTATGGCATTACATAATCAAACTAGCATTTAAATGGTTTAAAAACCTGAAAATTAATGATTTTTTGTCTATATTTTATTGTCTTTTTTTTGACATGGACATTTTTGTAATCTAAGGACCTCTGTGTAACTTAGAAATTGACGCACAAGGGTTAATAAAATTCAGAAGTGTTATGTAAAAAATTATTATTATTATTTAAAAAATATAAATTTGTATGCATTATAAAATCAAGACTTTACATTGGTTGTCTTAGCTTGAAAAACAAAACAAACAGAAACGTGTGTGTAATTGGTTGATGCAACTTGAGCAGATCTAAATGTAATGCTGCAATCAACACTTCATTTATTTTCACCTCTGATTTGAATGATTTTGAGGTGCATTTTTGTTCATTTTGGTGGCATTTTTTTCTACAAGCTCCTGTTTATTTACGACCCTGTCATTTGGTGAAATAATATTGATAAAACTGTCAATACAAGCGTCCTTTATATTACTACAAAAATTTATATTTATTTTATTTATTTCATATTTAGAACAAATTTCAGAATTGTAATAGTAATAATAATGAGTATTTAGTATTTGGCGTTGATTATAATGCACTAGTGGTGTGTGTGTGTGTGTGTACAGGTTTATATATCCTGGTGGGGACTTATACCTGAATACACATACAAATGGGGATTCGTGTTGCGGTGGGGACCTAAATTGAGGTCCCCATGGGTACAAAAGCTTATAAATCATAGAGAATTCGTTTTTTTGAGAAAGTAAAAATGCAGAAAGTTTCCTGTGAGGGGTAGGTTTAGGTGTAGGGTTGGTATAAGGTGATAGAAAATACGGTTTGTACAGTATAAAAACCATTACGCCTATGGAGAGTCCCCACAAGGATAGCAAACCAGACGTGTGTGTGTGTTTGTGTGTTTTAGGCTGCTGACTCTCGGTCTCACTCTTCTTCATGCGGATGTGGTCACTAACGCCACAATCCGTAACGTCCTGAGAGAGAAGATCTACTCTACCGCCTTTGATTACTTCAGGTGTGAACATCAGCACAAAACAGGAGGCATATTTAGTTTCTTATGCAGAATGAATGTAACTTGTTTTTATGTGCGTTCAGTGTGGCTCCACGGTTCCCCACGCAGCCGGAGAAACGCCTGCGTGAAGACATCAGCATCATGATCAAGTTCTACGCGTGTCTGCTGTCGGATAAGAAATATCTCACAGCCACTCAACTCGTCCCACCAGGTGAACAAACCCCATCATAGTGCACATCAGTGATCTTCAGCCCAAATCCACTTGATAGGTGCAATGTTAATGGTGGATTTGCTTGGTTTGTGACATGTCAAGCAGCTTCAGAAGTCTCCTGCCTCATTTTTAATGCGTGTTTCTTATGCATTTTAGTTTAATTTGGGCTCAGGCATTAAATACCGCAAAGTTTTTAACTTTGTTATCCTTGATGAATAAGTGTATTTCACTATTTCACTACTACTTGTATATGCATGTTGTGTACAAACTCATTCATAACATCACAGGACCACTTAAAATGAACTAGTTATGGTAAAAATCTATTAATATGTTTACATTTCTTTAATGCATTCATATAAATTTTAACCTAAAGTATTGCTGTTGAAAGAAAAAGATAATCGGCATGTTATTTGTTCACTGCCACTAAACTAAACACTGTAATTTTTCTTATTTGTTTGTTTTCAAAATTTTTAAATGAACAAAAATGGTTGGAGTATGTTTTTTAGTCTTCCTACTTCAAAATTTCATGTTTAATTCAGTGTTTTACTTGCTGTTTCTTTGAAGCAATTTTCACACAGAAATTGCTAGTAAATTTCACAAATAATACTTTTTACAAATAATTACAAAGTAAACATTTATTTAAGTGTAGGTTACCTCAACAATACTGACAGTTCCTCCCGGTTCAGCTGCATGGACAATGTTCACGGAAAATATGCGTTGTAGTCCAAACGAGTCGTTCGTTGTAGTTTTTGAAAAGTGATTTCTGTTAAATAAAATATCTCCTTTTGAAGTGGACTTTGAGCTTTGTAACTTTGCAGATATTTTTTATGCTCAAACAGCAACATTACAGACTAACTAAAGTTGAAAAAGTTGAAAAAGCATAATAGGACCCCTTTAAATAGGGTCACTTGTAATCTGTAACCTATTACATTTCCAAAGTAACCTTCCCAACACTGTTAATGCTGATGTTGGGTCAGATCCTCAGGACGTGTCGGTGAACAGTCTGTCGGTGTTGGCGGTGATGGACTCCAGGAGCAGTCTGGACGCGGCGGTGGGCTCCAGACAGCAGGCCACACAGGGCTGGATCAACACATACCCACTGTCCAGCGGCGTCTCCACGCTCTCCAAGAAATCAGGTGCTCGCACAGCATTTATTTCTCTCTTTAATATCATGAAACATGTAATGCTTCTTTGTAAGTGAAGAAGGGATGGGAAGGTCTTTCATTCAAGACTCATTGTTGTTGTTGTTATGGCATCTTTCTCTTTGTCTTCATAATGCATAAAATACGCTTGGAGTTACCTACTCATTCTATACTGGGATGATTTCCCATATGTTTTCGTGTCACAAGTTTTGCATTAATTATAATTAGATTAATGCAAAACTTGTGACATGAAAACACTTTTATTTGAGCTGCCTCTTTGTCAAGTCTCATTTATTTCTATGGTGCTTTATACAGTACAGGTTGTTTCAATGTTTCACAGTAATACACAGGAAAATAACAGTATTAAAGATGTAAAATCCATCAATTATGAAACAAATTGAAACTACAAAGCAACTCTACAGAAGACAATAGTGTCATTATTCAGAATAATATACTTCAGGGATAGATTCGTTTCAGTTCAGCTTTGTCACTCATGAGTAGTACATTTCATGAGATGCATCATGGGATGTTTTTAAACACTACTAAAGGAGGAATGTGTGTGACAAACACTTGCTCCATAACAATCATTTAAATGATTTTTGTAAAGAAATTCATCCATAGGCCCTCTTTATATCTGTCTACAATCAGGTCAGTGGTTCTCAACCTGTTATATTTACAGTATTATTTCTGCTGAGATTTGCTCACAATCATAACAGCAAGATTTTCTTCATCATGTGACCTTCTCGTATATTAAACTCTTGTCTCTTGCAGGTCTGTCAAAGAAGACAAACAGAGGAACGCAGCTGCATAAATACTTCATGAAGCGCAGAACGCTGCTGCTGGCCCTGCTGGTGAGATTATAGTTATCATATTAATTAAACCTACCAAGATGAATATGGCCGTTTTAGTGTTTAATTAGTCTATGATTAAAGGGGTCATATGATGCAATTTCAAATTTTCCTTTCTCTTTGGAGTGTTAATGAATAGATAAGATCCCTAAAGTTGCAAAGACTAAATGCATCATGGGATGTTATTAAACGCTACTAAAGGAGGAATGTGTGTGACAAACACTTCAGGATGCTCCATAATGATAATTTAAATTATTTTTGTAAAGAAATTCATCCATAGGCCCTCTTTATATCTGTCTACAATCAGGTCAGTGGTTCTCAACCTGTTATATTTACAGTATTATTTCTGCTGAGATTTGCTCACAATCATAACAGCAAGATTTTCTTCATCATGTGACCTTCTCGTATATTAAACTCTTGTCTCTTGCAGGTCTGTCAAAGAAGACAAACAGAGGAACGCAGCTGCATAAATACTTCATGAAGCGCAGAACGCTGCTGCTGGCCCTGCTGGTGAGATTATAGTTATCATATTAATTAAACCTACCAAGATGAATATGGCCATTTTAGTGTTTAATTAGTCTATGATTAAAGGGGTCATATGATGCAATTTCAAATTTTCCTTTCTCTTTGGAGTGTTAATGAATAGATAAGATCCCTAAAGTTGCAAAGACTAGATAGAGATATTCTTTATAAAAGTTATGACTTGTCCACGCCCTCCTAAAACGCCTCATTTAAACACGCCCCCACATGTCTACATCACTGTGTGGGAAGATTTGCATAACACCGCCCAAATGTTCACGCAAAGAAAGAAGGCGTAACTTTATTGTTGCTGCCGCGGCCGCCGCCATGTTGTGGAGTCGCTGTGTGTTTCGTTGTGAAAGCGAAATTACTTTGTTTGGTCTTCCAAAAGAGGACACAACTAGAAATCAGTGGTTAAGTTGTATTTACAACACTGTTCCAGAACAGTTCAACCCAAATATTCAGATGTGTGCAGCGCATTTTATGGAGGACTGTTTCCTGATCCTGGTAGAGTAGACTACAATGCGTCTGTGGCTCAAAGGCTGTGTCTATAAAGTGGGGCAGTTCCGACTTTGCAAGGACTGTCTGCTGCTTCTGACTCACAGCCTGTAAGTATGTTTTTTATATTTAAAGAATTTGCGATTCAAACGCGAGTTTTGAGCAGTGTAGAGTAGGGCTTGTTGTTTGTCATTTCTCCGATCACAAATGCAGACATGGTTTTATATTTGCGCGGCGCGATACGCAACACATAAAAAGACAGTATAAGTCATTATAATCTGTAATTATGTCCCCACTGGATGCAACAAATGCCTCGTTTATAATGGGTTTAATGTTTTTGTCTCGTCGCTCCGGCCGGACAGGGCATCACAGTATGTGAGGGGTGTAGCATTTCCGTCACACGCTTGAGGTATTCGGCCAATCACAATGCACTGGATAGCTGACCAATCAGAGCATACCTTGCTTTTCAGACCGATGAGCTTTGTAAAAATTGACGCGTTTCAGAAAGGCGGGGCATAGAGGAGAAACAATAATGTACAGTATGTGGAAAATAATGTGTTTTTTGACCCTTAAACCGCATAAACACATTTCATTACACCAAATACACCAAATAATGTTCTTTTTAGCAGCATCATATGACCCCTTTAAACCAGATGAGCACTTGTGTGTTGTTAGGCCAGTGAGGTGGAGCGTCTGACCACCTGGTACAATCCTCTGGGCAGCCAGGAGCTGCAGATATCAGCCGAACAGTCTGTGGAGACCAGCATCACCAACTGGAGGTCCAAATACATCAGCCTGACCGAGAAACAGTGGAAGGATAACGTTAATCTAGCATGGAGCATCTCACCATACCTCGCACTACAGCTGCCGGCCAGGTGAGGGACTCAGTGTGTGACGTTTACATTGTATTTGATGTGTTTGGTGACTTATATTGCATTCAAGGTACTGTACACTATTGTTCCAAAGATCTTTTTTAAAAGAAATAAATACCTTTATTAATCAAGGATGCATTCGACTGATCAAAAGTGTCAGTAAAGACATTTATAATGTTACAAAATATTTCTATTTCAAATAAATGCTGTTCTTTTGAACTTTCTATTCATCAAAGAATCCTAAAAAAAATAAAATGTATCACAGTTTCCACAAAAATATTGTGCAGCACAGCTGTTTTCAACACTGATAATAATCAGAAATGTTTCTTGAGCAGCAAATCAGCATATTAGAATGATTTCTGAAGATCATGTGACACTGAAGACTGGAGTAAAGATGCTGAAAATACAGCTGCGCATCACAGAAATAAATTTAGCAATAAACATTTGAACATATTTTCTCATAGAAAGCAGCTATTTTAAATTGTACTAACATTTAAATATTTTTACTGTGTTGACACTTGTATGAAATGTGTGTGTGTGTGTGTATATATATATATATATATATATATATATATATATATATATATAAATAAATATTTCTATGAACTGAGGCTGTGGAAATAATACAAAAACATACAGTTACTGATATATGGCTAAACATTACAGTCCATGTCAACTTTTGATTAGCACATGGCTTTTTATTGTACTGTTTTTTTTTTTTTTTACATTTTATATACATATTAGATCTACTTTTTTTCTCATGAATTAAATTATATTTATTGATGTATTAATGTAGAGCTAATAAAGTCAAATTGTGTCTAACACATGGGTTTCTATGAAACTGTATGTATATATATATATATATATATATATATATATAAATAACCATTTGACTAATCGTTTTTGTTTGTGTTTAGGCCTTCAGACATTTTATGATGTGGTCCTCTTATGGTTAACTGACATGTTTAAACTTAATATTATGTGTTAATCAGTAAACCATCATTAACATCCCTCCACATGAAACCACAAATGAAAATTTCACACACCAAACATGTTTCCACTCTTTCTACACAATATTTTACAGGTTCAAGAACACCGAAGCCATTTTCTCCGAAGTGACCCGCTTGGTTCGTCTGGACCCGGGGGCCGTCAGTGACGTTCCTGAGGCTGTGAAGGTGAACGTCCAGAACCCAACACAACCAAATAATGAAATAAGATAGCAAAGAAAAATTCATCTTATAAATCTTATAAATATTAGTAAAGTATAATTTGGAAAATATTTAGTTCCTATTATGTTACATCATTTTTTCTGCTCACTTTAGTACTGTACTGTTAGATGTATTTATTTTTTCATTTATTTAAACCTGTTTTATTTATTTTAACCTATTAAATAAATTAACCATTTAACCAATTAAATTAATTGATTAAAATAAATAAATAAAATGTGAATTTAAAAAGTGCTGTCAAACGATTAATCGCGATTAATCGCATCCAAAATAAAAGATTTTGTTTACATAATATATGAGTGTGTACTGTGTATATTTATTATCTATATATAAATACACACACATGCATGTATGTATTTAAGAAAAATAAGTTTGTTTTAAATATATTTATATATAATATAAATTATATGAATATAAATATGTAAATACATGTAAATATTTTCAATATACATACATGCATGTGTGTGTCTTTATATATACATAATAAATATACACAGTACACACTCATATATTATGTAAACAAAAACTTTTATTTTGGATGCGATTAATCACGATTAATCGTTTGACAGCACTAAATTTAAAATTAGGTTAAAACTAAATAATTGCAATAAAATAAATAAATAAAAATGTGATTGACCATAACTAAAAAACTTTATAAATAATAATAATAATAATAAAAAATTATATATTTTTTATTTATTACTCTAAATGTATTGTTATATTAATCACATTTTTATTTTAGTCTAATGAATGACTCATTATAAGTTATTTTAATATAAATAATTATAATAATTGCATACATTTTCACTCAAATGTGCCTCTACGCTGCCTGTCGTCTGCACCGCTGACTGTAAACCTGTTTTCCACATAGTTTTTAGTGACGTGGCACACGATCGACGCTGATTCTCCTGAGTTGAGTCATATCTTGTGTTGGGCTCCGGCTGATCCTCCCACGGGACTCTCGTATTTCTCCAGCATGTATCCGCCGCATCCGCTGACCGCACAGTACGCCGTCAAAGTCCTGCGCTCCTTCCCTCCGGTATGCAGCACCTGTCATATTACACTCGTTATTATACATCTTTATCTGTGATCAGTTTGAGTGCTTTTATTAATGCATATTTCTCTCTCATACTTTCAACAGGATGCTATTCTGTTTTACATCCCACAAATTGTTCAGGCCCTCCGTTATGACAAGGTATAGTGTATGAAGTTTAAAGTAATAAAGTCAAATAATGGCAAAATGATTTGCATGTGCAGAGTAAGAATCGAAAAGGTATAAATGAAGTTGCATACATCGTTTAAATGTTTTTAGCGAGTATAATTCATATGTTGTATGCAGGCCATATTTTGCATTTCTTGGTTTTCTCTGCTCTGACAGGTGAGTGCACTAATGATGCTGATGTGTAATGTTGTGTAGATGGGGTACGTGAGAGAATATATCCTGTGGGCGGCACAGAAGTCTCAGCTTCTGGCACATCAGTTCATCTGGAACATGAAGACCAACATCTACACAGATGAGGAGGGACACCAGAAAGACTGTAAAAACAGCTTCTTTTCACTATCATGAGCTTTAAAGCCTGTTTGCACCAAAAACGATAACTATATTAGCGTCCACACAAACAAATAATAATGTTCTGGTTATTCTGAGTATTCTGCAGTTTTGTTAAAGGGGTCATATGATGCTGCTAAAAAGAACATTATGTTGTGTATTTGGTGTAATGAAATGTGTTTATGCGGTTTAAGGTTCAAAAAACACATTCCACATACTGTACATTATTGTTTCTCCTCTATGCCCCGTCTTTCTGAAACGCGTCGATTTTTACAAAGCTCATCTCTGTTTGTTTTTCCTTATAGAGTAGTAGCTACAGCACCAGGGGTGAGTTGTTTCATTTTTTAATGTTACATTTTATTTAGTTTTTTAAATGTTTATAATTTAATATAATTTATTTTATTTTAAAATTTGAATAATATTTAATTTTTTTGAGTTTTTTTGGCTGGCATCAGACTGTTTTTTTTGTTTATAATGATCGTTTAGCATTGATTTCAGGCAGGTTTGGGTCTGATGTTGGTAATGATGCTTTCATGGTTGTCCTGGTCTGATTTAGTCCAAACCCATCCCTCTGCAAACTACAGCAAAACATGTCTTGTTCTCCATCATAGATGCAAACTCCTCACCTTTCAGTGACAGCTCACTTTTTTGAGATCAAAATAGGTCACCTATGAGATTTTTGTGAGAAAGTGTTTTTATGGGGGGGTCTTGCAAGGGTAAATAAAGAACTGAGAATGGTTGCATAAACTGTTTAGACTAGTCTTAAAAATTTGTTTTCTTCATGACTGGTCATAACTTTTTTAATTCAGTTATGAAAAGGTAGATTGGTCTTATTTGTATTGGAAAAGTAAGACAAGCTTTTCTCTTGGCAACTGCTAGTTGGTTAAACTAGTTCTTAAGACAGTCTTAACTTGGTGGCTAAGGTTATGCAGCTGGCCCCTGGTTGTTTCAATAAGTTTTGCATAGTATTTTCTTTATTCTTTACTTCAAAAAGTATGTCTGAAAAGGGTCATATTTGATGTATTTGAGGTCTGAATGTTTTTCCCGCTTACCTGTTTGCATCTCTGCTCCATGGCGACTCTGCAACTCACCATTTTTCTGTGGCTAATCTTTTACATGACTAATAAAAAACAACATCTGTGTAACCGTGATTGTAAATCTCACTGAAGCAGCACATGATCGTTACCTGAAGGGACAAACACACACATCTCACTCACTGTACTGCATATTAATTCACTTTATTACATTCATCTGTGTTTGTGTGAATATATGAGAGTGAATCTGAGAGAAATGAGTTCCTGCAGGTGTGACGCCAGCAGCTTTAGGTTTTTTCACACTGAAGTTGTTCTTGTGTCTGGATGTTGTTGTTTAATGTGAAGGTCCTGTGTTTGTGTCACAGTGTGGCGTCATCGAGTGCATCCCGGACTGTAAGTCCAGAGATCAGCTGGGACGACAGACAGATTTCGGGATGTATGATTATTTCCGGAACCAGTACGGAGACGAATCCACTCTGGCCTTCCAGAAGGTGAGAAAAGCCTGTGGTTCTAAACCGGTCCATTACGAGGGAAATCATGAATTAAAATGATTTAAAATCATAAACTATAAGCTTTTGAAATAGTCTGAAACTACAAATCAATATATTTCCTATTTTAATTTGTGTCAGTTTAATATTTCTTATTTTAAATAATTCATTCATTAATTTTGAAGATCCAGGCTTGGAAGACTTGGATATATGAGGAAGCCTAATTTTAAAAGTGTGTGTTGGAAAAGTCTTGTAAATGAAAAATAGCAATGCCAGTAGTTCTAAACCTGTCCACTAGAGGTCCCAACGTGACTTAAAATGATTACAAATCATACAATACAAAGATTAAAATAAGTTACTAATTAATAAAAAATTTTATTAGATTTTTTTTAGGTTCAAAAATATGTAATCAGCTAGAAATTGAGTAAAAAAAAATCACCAATGATTGGAAAAACATGCAAATTCATTGGTTAAAAAGGGTATGAACCATGTTTTTATTTTATTTTTATTAGAACTCTTTTTTTCTTCTTCTTAGTTTACAGGAATTAGGAGTGCCCATAGATTTAAAAAAAGTTTTTAAAACAAAACTAGAGCTAGGGGCATTTAAATAGGTTTTGTGTTACATTTACATTTATATTAATGCATTTAGCAGACATTTTTATCCAAAGTGAAACCGGCTGTGAATGCTGAGGGCCTTAGAGTCAAAAGCTTTAAGGAAACACTGGTTTTCTGAATGTCTTTTTCTCCGTCTCTCTCTCTCTCTCTCTCGTGTCTCTATCAGGCGAGGTATAACTTCATCCGTAGCATGGCTGCGTACAGTCTGCTGCTCTTCCTGCTGCAGATCAAGGACAGACACAATGGGAACATCATGCTGGACAGACAGGGCCACCTCATCCACATCGGTGAGACGTCTAACAATCAACCTCTCTGTTCTGTGTTTGTCATGTGTTTCTAACGTGTGCGTGTGTTTCAGACTTCGGCTTCATGTTCGAGAGTTCTCCGGGTGGGAATCTGGGCTGGGAGCCGGACATCAAACTGACCGATGAGATGGTGATGATCATGGGCGGGAAGATGGAGGCCACGCCCTTCAAGTGGTTCATGGAGATGTGTGTGCGCGGATACCTGGCTGTCAGGTGAGGTGTGAGTATGTGTGGGTGTGAGTGAGTGTGAGTGTGTGTGTGTGAGTGTAAGTTTGAGTCTGTGTGTATGTGTGTGTCGGAGTCTGTGTGTGAGTGTGTGAGTGTGTGAGTGTGTGTGAGTGAGTGAGTGAGTGAGTGAGTGAGTGTGTTCGCACTTGTGTTTTTGTTAGAAACTGAGAGACTGAATGAATCTCTGTTACTCTGCAGGCCGTATATGGATGCTGTGGTTGCCTTGGTAACGCTGATGCTGGATACAGGATTGCCCTGCTTCCGCGGTCAGACCATCAAACTGCTCAAGTGAGTTCAAAACAACTAACAGTGGAGCAGATAGGAATTGTGATTTATATTTGATTCATATTTGAAAACATATTTGATTTATATTGAAAAAATATAATGTTTAGAAAAATCGAGCTATGGATTTGAATGAGATTAATTATTACTGACTTTTTTAAGTAATAAACACAAATCAATATACATATATTTTGTTGTTATGAACATGGAAAATTAAGGAGTTAAAAAGTTAAATTACAGTACAGAATTATTAAGAACGCATCATAACAGATCTCCAGAAACACACACATTAATGAGATTAATAATGAGATTAATAGCGAATGTGATTAATGTGAGTGTTTTTTTTAAAGACTTCCTTGACTCTAATTTGATTTTTAGGTAATTGAATATTAGGCATTGTTTTTAAGTTTGTCCTTGTTAAATATTAGAAATGTTATCAAATATAAAAATGGCATTTTATGTAACTGTTATTGTTGTTTTTTTATTATTATTATTATTTACATTTTTGTTTATTTTATTTAGTTGGTTTGTTAAGATAATATTGTTAAATTATTGTATGCAATTAATTAAAGTATTATTATCATTTCAAATTTATCACTTGAATTTGTCATGAATTTACCCTTTGATGTTGATATGGTTTTAAATGATAGATAGATAGATAGATAGATAGATAGATAGATAGATATAGATAGACACAATTAATTAATTATTAGTTTGTTGATTAGAAATGAATCATGTGTGTTGTAGGCAGCGTTTTAACCCTGGAGTGAGTGAGAAGGAAGCAGCAGCTTTTATCATCAAAGTCATTCAGAACTGCTTTCTGAGCAGCAGGTCAGTGTCTCTCACATTAATGCATCTCGTTTCCTGATTAACTATTAATTTGATGATTAGAAATGAATTATGTGTGTCGCAGGCAGCGTTTTAACCCTGGAGTGAGTGAGAAGGAAGCAGCAGCTTTTATCATCAAAGTCATTCAGAACTGCTTCCTGAGCAGCAGGTCAGTGTCTCTCACACATTAATGCATCTTGTTTCCTGACTTGTTTTAATGTAAAACGCTGTGCTTATAATATGAAATGTTTTTGTTTGTTCCAGGAGCAAAACGTATGACATGATCCAGTACTATCAGAACCAGATCCCCTACTGAAGGCCAGAGAAATGTGTGTGTGTGTGTGTGTGTGTTTCTCTTAATGCTAATTGCACTGCTGTCTCAGTCTGGTGTGTTTGTGCACTTTATACACCTGAAATGTGTTTGCATGGATTTCTACGCACTGATATCAGCACTTATGAGACGTTTTCTGCACACGTCCAATTAATTAACTATTAATTTGATGATTAGAAATGAATTATGTGTGTCGCAGGCAGCGTTTTAACCCTGGAGTGAGTGAGAAGGAAGCAGCAGCTTTTATCATCAAAGTCATTCAGAACTGCTTTCTGAGCAGCAGGTCAGTGTCTCTCACATTAATGCATCTCGTTTCCTGACTTGTTTTAATGTTAAATGCTGTGCTTATAATATGAAATGTTTTTGTTTGTTCCAGGAGCAAAACGTATGACATGATCCAGTACTATCAGAACCAGATCCCCTACTGAAGGCCAGAGAAATGTGTGTGTGTGTGTGTGTGTGTTTCTCTTAATGCTAATTGCACTGCTGTCTCAGTCTGGTGTGTTTGTGCACTTTATACACCTGAAATGTGTTTGCATGGATTTCTACGCACTGATATCAGTACTTATGAGACGTTTTCTGCACACGTCACACTGTCTGCTGCATGATGGGTTCAACTGTAAACATTATAAAATCACTTTTGTGCCATGTTGATTTGTATTTGATGTGATTTTGTTGTCAGTCTTAATTTCCAGATAAATCATGTAGTTTGTAAACTACAGCAGACGTGTTTATGGACATGTACGGCCTGAACTGCAGACAAAGGTCATATTTCAGAGGTGATAAATTTACACATTAATGCACAAACTAACGAAAATCAGTATTTGATTGTTTATTATGATGTAATTGAGGAGAGATGTTTGAAAAGTGTTTGATATTTCTTAGCAGTGTTTACAGCTCTGAATATGTGTTCATATTTCTGAATCACTGTTTGTTTTGCAGTATGTGACTGTTTATTGATCAATTGATCGTACAGTGTATTAATATTTGTTCGCTCTCTTGTAAGCATTAATTTTCTGCCTCTTTCTATTCTATTCTATTATTTATTCTGTGTGTGATATTTAATAAATGCCCCACAGTAGTTGCCTGTACACATTTGTAATGCTTATTTACTGGCATTTTGTACATGTGGTAAGGATATTACATTTAATGTAAAAATGAGTGAGTCTACAATTTCAATGCATTCAGTGTCAAACTCATTTGAGCTCCACAGTCACTTCTTTTAATCAGTCAGTGTGAACAGATCTTAGAATTTGAGACTCTTCAAAGTTGAGAGTTCAGCGCATTTGGTGTCAGCAGTTTATCTGTTGTTTTACTCACTGGAATTCATTCTTATTGTCTGGATTTTCTCATTTATCAGGTGGTCATTAAATGTTTAGTTGAATTATTGTTTTCAGCTGTTGCTTTTAATCTGAAATAATGGGGGGAATAATGAAAAGAAGATTCCAGATGAAATGGAAAAATACTACAAGTCATGAACCAGCTGCACATTTTCATATAATTTGAATAGGTCTGTGTTAATGCTCTTTATCTTAGCTTCCCTGTTCTTTTGTTAAACCCTGTTTATATCACATAAACTTCATTAAACAGTTGATAACAAAGACAAATAGGTAACATTATTAATCTTAGGTAATTTTAATATTTACTAATACATTATTAAAATCAAAAATATTTTTTGTTAATTTGATTAAATGGAAGTGAGCTACCATGATCTAACGATGAACAAATTTATTTTTGTTAATAACGTTAACAAAGATGAATAAATACTGTAACAAAAGTATTGCTCATTATTACTATTATTTATTGCATTATTTGGAACTTATTGTAGACTGTCTGTGTGAATGCATCTTGAGACGAAGACTATTTAAAATATCTTCTCAATATAATGGTCAAGTTTAGTATGCCACATTGTATACGGATTATTGTTCATTATTTATTTTTCACATAGGTTATGTATATTAGTCAGCAAAACAATTTAAATGAGACTGTGTAATGGGGAAAAAAACAAGACACTAACATTCCAGATAAAACAAGTTGTTCTGCGTAATGGAAAAATAGTGTAATGCGTCATGAACCACCGGAGTTAAATGTTTTCATGTTCTGAATATGATACCACCCTGTCTTTTAACCTCATTTGTTTAACTCTAATTATAACCTCTTACATTACATTTACATGTATTCATTTAGCAGACCCTTTTAACCAAAGCGACTTACAAATGAAGACAATAAAAGCAATCAAGCCAACAAAAGAGCAATAATAATGTAAGTGCTGTGACAAGTCTCGATTAGTCTAATACAGTATACGTAGCAAGAATTTAATTTTTTTTATAATAAAAAAAAAAGAAAACAAGTAGATGGAATACATAAAGTATAAAGACTGTTAGTGATATAGTGGTCATTTTTTTAATTAAAAAGACAAGTAGATAGAATAGAAATAGAATAGAGATTGCTAATGTTATAAAGTCAAAGTCAAGTTTTTTTTATAATAAATAAAACAAGTAGATAGAATAGAAATAGAATATATCATATAAGATTTGTGCAGGCATATGTGTTGACAACTACGTCTCAAGGCATGACCACTGACTGTAGCTTGTGGTTATTTTGCAATAAAATAAAAAGACATTTTGTGTGTTTTTATTTATTCAAACTACAGTTTGCGACACTTCTCTGGTGTGGTCCAGTTGACAGTGGTCGTCTGTATTTTGTATACTTGAGTGGGATCTCTGAAGGAACTTATAGAAACATGTCTCTCAGGACATGCAGGCATATGTGTCGTATCATTATTTTGAAATAAAACAAAGTGTCACGAATCCGGTCCATGAACTTCCAATTTCATTGACTCTCGCACTACACACTGTTGCACATCACCCCGGACTACATTTCCCATCATGCATTGCACTGATTGCACTCAGCACGGATTGCACACAGCTGTTTACACTGATTGCACCCAGCTGTTTCATATCACTCCCTCACTATTTAACACTCACTCTGATCCCTTCCCTCTGCCGAGTATTGTTTCAGCGATTATCACTCCCCTAGTGATAGCTACACTACAGAGCCCTCAGTCGTTTTCCTAGCCTTAGCCTTAGTCTGTTTTCTCCGGTTTTTGATCTTCGCCTGGTTTCCTGGATTTCTCCTTTTGTCTTGCCCCTTTTTGATTCTGTCTGCCGATCGTCGACCTGCGCTAGCCCTAGGACTATTCTTGTGTCTTGCCTGCCATATACCTGTCTGCCTCAGTTTGACCCTGCCTGCTTCATGACCATGTCTCTGTCTTCTCCACAATAAAAGCTTTGCGAATGGATCCGCACGTCTC